AGGCAAACTGTCCGTTAGGCGAAATGTCTTTAGGCAGATTGACCGGTCGCGCAGTAAATCAATCGAATTAAACCAAACGTTTCATCTGAACCTTTTTCAGTCTCCGTCTCGGTTTGATCGGCCTGAGGTGTCGCCTGGGCTGAGGCTGCTGAGTTATTTGAAGACGTCGACTGAACGTCCTGCAATACGGTTCATTCAATTCCAGTGAAGAGATATCGATACGTCCGCAATAGAAAATATTTCTCTGACAATCAGATCCGCCACCAAAAACACACTGCGATTTCAACAACTCCCGTAGTCAATTCTCGAAGCGTTGTACTCCACAAGAAAAATTCGCAGAATGAATTAAATGAACCATTAAAATAAAAATCGCCACAATGATGGCGATTTGATCAGCGCACCACATCGCTGATCTCGAGCGATATTAAACAATGAACAGTCAGAGCAGTGCCATTTATATAGATTTCTGAAAAACAAATTCTATTCCATATTCATAAATTATAGTGCAAACTTCAAATTTCCATATTTACAAATTGTATTCCAAAAATGTAGTTTCTTGAAATGCAAGTTATATTCCAAATTCTATGAATGTGCAAATTATCTCATTTACTTAAAGCGTAAATAGGGATTTGCCCGTGAACTGAATGGTTCAAGGGCCCCATCCTATCCTTATACTGATATATTCCTCATACAACCATAATGTTGTGAAGGTAGAAAAGTGTTCTTTTGGCTAACGGTCTCAGTTGAACGTAATCATTTTGATACGTGCAACGTGCATGCGATCCATACAACTGTAAAATTGCATACCTTAATTTACATTTGAAAATGTCAAATAAATTAAGTAAGAATTTGTATAAGAGTACTTTATAAATAGCCGAACATTTCGGTTTTTTTTNTTTTTTTTCGTGTGTATCAGGAAAATTAGAGGTTGCTTTAGAGTGTATGGTGTTTACGCGGAATATATTAGAAATACGGGAATAATCGTAAACCGCATGGTGAAATGTGACTCATTACACTTTGGGAGCGTTTGTTGGCAGAAGGGAACCAAAAAACAACGATGAGTATCGCCTTCATTCTTGGTTGAACGATATTCGATCTGTGGCTTTCGGCGGATATCAACCGCTTTTATACGCTTAACTCGTTGTCAAGTTCACGTTTGAATCGCCGTACTGCTGTACATTCTGCAATCACATCACCACGCATCATTTTTATCGGTTTGTACTTGACGTATCATCACACAATGAACACTTAACTTATTGGTGCTGAATCATGTACTCTCGGCTGCAGTCATTGCGCCTTCGATTGAAATTTATTCGCCTTCAGACAGCTTCAGACGGAACGGCACCAGTTTCAGGTCTTTCAGTTCTAGTCGTCAGCACGCCTCAAACTTTCAGTCAATACACCTCCAACTCAACATGCCTTCAGTATGTTTCTCGGCTTCGTTGGTCAAACCTTCTGCTTCATATGGTATTATAATTATATGTAGATGGTATTATTGGTATTATAATTAGAACTGGTATTACACCGATTCTAGGTTGCCACTCTGTGCAAAAAGATATTATAGTACCAGACATTATATCATATCAGGTATCATAATATCTTGTTAGATAGTCTGACTATTGAGTAATCAGACAGTCTGTTAGCTTTTAGGTTATTAGTTGAATACCTCGGCGGATGATGGACTGTTTTATTGCAATTTTCACTGATTGTAAGTGATCCGTTGTGAATGCAACAATTGAACTGGAGAAGTGATAGAAGTCTTTTATAATGAGAGAAATTAGAAATGTGAAAATTATAAAATCAGTGGTAAAGAAGTAGGCGGCATTACATTTATGCACCCGAATTATGGAACCGATTAGGAGAAAAGAAAATAGGAGAAAATGGGAGGAGAAATAACGAAAGGAACGGAAAATTATGGCAAAATGAAACAAAAAGATACAAATAGAGAAAAACCTGAAACGATTCAGGAAGAAGACATCGGAAAAAGACCGGGAACGGAATAGATTATTTGTGAATGAATCATCTCTATGCCAGTTACCCGTCTTAAAATTACACGAAAATAAGTACGTCCTTGAAAGAGTATATATAAACAAAAACATCGCATATCGAATGTTCGCTGTTCAGAGAACCGCTTTAATGTGAACTCATAAAAATTTTATGCTGAAATTTATGCTCAAGAGAATTTTTCATGTGATTATTCGAATTTTTGAGGCTTTCGAATTTGAAGCGATATCAATGAAGTTTTGCGATACTTCAATTCAGACAGAAGAGCTCGAGAAAATACACGATCATCAGGTGGGGAAAAAACGGGTAAATCGGATGGGAAACGCTAAATGAATAGTGACCAAATCCTGTCAAGTAGAAAATTTTCTCGAGTTCGCCATGTGACGTAGAAGGCAATCATGGCGAAGGCGATAAAAACACGAATTATGCCAGAGACACGCTTTTGTAAGTCAGTTTTACACTTTTTTTTCACATTGTAACCGTTAGGCTATCCACTAGAATAACGTTCGTTATGAAATTTGAGCAGGAATTCACCAATTGTATTGAAAGGAACAAACTGAACAGAACAAATTACAAAACGTTACTCTTGTCGATTCAAGCGTTTCAGTGAACAATAAAACAACAAACAATAAATTCTGTGAACAGTATAAATCTATAAAATGCAATATTCGAAAAAACTGATATTCCACAATGATTACATTTCGAGCGATCAACAACATCGTCAATTACATATTCAATAGAGGAGTAACGATAAGTAATGAATGCAGTGAGTTGATTAGTTCTTAGCAACGTTACAATGAAATCGGTACAGTTGAATGCTATTTGCAGTCAGTCTCGTTCATATCGAACAAAATATGAATTCGTGGGTAACACTGAAATTATCCGATCGATATGTGTGTGATTGAGTGAGTTAATATTNATATTATGAAGCGTCTTCACTGATCTGTTTATTTTTGGATGTTGTTTTACGCCTTGGCCGTGTATCCAAGAACTTCAAATAGTGATGTCCTCGTGATAATAAAAACCAACTCAGTGCAATCGCGACCACGGATTTCAAAGCTATATTGGATCTGAAATATTCATTCAGATTACAATCTACAATCCCGACAAACTATTTCCCTTCAATGAACAAAAAAAAGAAGGTAAAAACTGAAAATTTTGCCGTCAAAGGAAAATTACATTCCCACTCATTGACTGGTAATGTTATTAACTGCAAAATATTCAAGCCAACTTCGAATCGATTTAATCGTAATGATTTGCATGAGATACGAAGGTATTTACGTCAATTGCATCAAACACCTAATTGTAGGACAGCTCCATCCCCCGTTTGAGAGAACAAATGAAATGAAAGGAACTACTGAACCGGTATTTTTAGCGGTTTGATTGATGAATTCTCCTCTTCTATCAAAAAGACTCAATCAGTGTCATTTTGAGGATATCGGGTAAACGAATACAATTCATAAATTATGATGCATACTTGGATGGAAAAAGTGCTTTGATGAAGACGGCTGTCAGTAAAGAGCCAAAATTGAACATAACGGCCGCGAAAACACTATACTGAACACGATTCCATGAATCTAACCGATACAAATGTGGTCGAAAATATACATAGAATCCAACACCCAGATTTGATGTGGACAATATCGAATTTTCTACCGCTAAATCGCATATTGGAAACAATCTGAAGTGTGATTAAAGTTGTTCAGTCACAATTTGCTCATTCTTCGCCAAAAACTCGACGTTTGTTCCTTTTCAGAACGGCAGAAGAATAAATCTTCGGAACAAATTCATAATTTTGTGAGAGAGAATGTGTAATGATTGATCTGTTTTTGGACCGATAAAAATTGCAACCGGAAAACTAGTCAAAAGACAGCATAGAGTTCCTTAAAATGAGCAATGTGCTGATGAAACTAATCCCATTGAAACAATTGTTTTGTTGGAACTCTCCAGAATGATTTATTGTCGATTTGAGCAATGCTTCAACATATCATTTCAAAATGCCGAAATGTTGTTTGATTCTAATGAACACATGAGCAAAAGCCTCACGTCGCTTATCGCTTATTCGTATCACTGACGATATAAGCCAATAATTACACAAACAGAAACAAATGATATAAAAAATGATATAAATGACATAAAGTGATATAGTATGATATAAAACGATAATGACAGAAAATCTCCGATCCAGAAATATGACGAACCTGGAGAGAATCTGCGGCGAGAAGATATGAATGGTGTATAGCGTATGGCTGACAGCACCAGTGATTGGTAAGTAGTACGATAGTAATGATCGTGTGCTCATTCGTGGTAATGCCTCACGTCGCTTATCGCTGAGCCACTTTATTAGGCCCATCGTCAAAAAATACACTAAAATATTCATTCATTATTCAGTTTGCCTAGCCGGAATTTCGGCAACATACAACCAACACCTCATCATCATC